GAGCTCGAATACATCTAGAGGAGCGCTAACTCATATTTCAAGAGCATGCTGCTGCTATTATTAAGCTGGATTGCTCCTTCATCAGATCTAGGCCAGATTAATCGATTTTCCTTGCAGATGCGGCTTCTATAGCTATCCTGTGGACTACAGATAGCAACAAAACCCAGACTTTGACGTCCTATATGATCCAATCTTGCCTAATGTCGACAATGAGAGATGAAATCAGCAATGAATATGCAGATAACTAACATTACAAACGTCCCCTATAGGTGAGAAAGGCTGGAGGTCTGGAAATGTCTGCTATTAAATCAACTGACAAGTGTCGACTTACACGAGTTAGATTTGGCCTATAATTTTAGCATGTATGCCAATGAGTACAAATATTGAATCAAAGACCCTGCGCAGCACCACCAGAAGTGCTCGACCAATCCGACGTTCGATATAGCCCACGTTAAATCCGGTTCTCTTGATGGAATGAACGTTTTGGCCAAAGCATGGCTCTATTCAGAGGGAGTTCGACGCAGTAAACACGAGTTATGATTAGCTCTATCCATTGCCTTGATTTTTATCATCTCCAGGAAAAGAGTGAGAGATCATTGCTGCAAAAATGACCAGCACAGTGGCAGCGATCGTACTCCACTGCTCTATATGGGGAAAGCTTTCTCGTCCAGGGTCTGCACGCCACATGATCCATTCATTATACCCAACAAAAAAGCTCAGCACAAGGGGCTCAACATCATTGCATAAATGTAGAGCATAAAGGTCTAAATGCGCAAGTAGTAGAGTATGCATGGACAAACATTGCCCCAAAAGCCAACTCTTTTAACCCACCCCCTACGAGCAAGTCGAACATGGGCTCCGATTCCACTTTTCAAATTAAAAAAGTTGTCCTGCTTATTCGAAGTCGTATTATTATTTTGCCCAGTGCCAGTTTGGTTGTATGGGGTAAGGTTGGACCGCATTTCGAGAATGTTACGGGCATTTTTCGAGTTCGCTAGTATGATAACCATCAAGCTGGACAATGCCGACGAGGTGACAAGAGCGTAGACAACCAACATCAGCCTATATGCTATGTTGGTCTCAAATTCGCGAGCATAACCACCGTCCACCACAAATATATCTGTTGGATCTCGGAGTGGCCAGGAAGCTTCGAAGCATGGATATATACACATGCTACCAGCTCGTTGCGTCGCATTTTTCAAGAAATCTTTTTCGTATACTGTGACGTTCCAATGATACCAGTCCTTATGGCCCTAGCCTGTGCCAACATTTTGTGCTCCGTTGTTGATCAAAGGTAACAATTCATGACGATTGGGCGGGCAGAATCGTAATTGCGGGAACGAGTAGAAGGTTACGTATGCCTGAGCTACAGAGGCGCAAATCATACCTATAAATAGCAGAAATGACCACAGCACTAAAATGCTTTTTGGCTTTGTCTCTCGAAGTGTTTGAGACCACATCTGCATCGGAAGGAGAACCAGGAACGCGGCCCCCACTACGGTTAGAATTGGATCGACATCGTTATCCCAAGCCATAGGAAGCACAGGCAACCAGGTAGACCACTTGATGTTGTACCTTTCACCAGAACAACTTCATAAAATTTTTAGCATGTATTGGGAAACCATCTCCTTCCGAACAACAACAAAGACTAGCGCATGTATTGCTGCCACGGCGCTGTAGGTTATGACAGAACCGAGAGCGACAGTTGCTATCCAGGTAATTCGTCTAACAGAGACTGCCTCCACATATAGCCTGCAGATTTCAATTGGAAGGACAGCAAAACTTCTCTCGCTGGCTAAAACAATCAATTGACTAATTGAATTATTTGTTTTCCAGGCATTTCTATGTATTTGCATGGATGCTGATTCCGGTGACTGCTTGGCTTTGACTGGCCAGCGGGAGAAACCTCTTAAAGAGGGCACTGCCAAGCTTTTATTTCAGCAACGCAATCCCCTCAAAGGATTACGCCATAGATAAGAGCCCATCATCATCTAGGTACTGGACATTTCTCCATTTGTGGCTTAGAGGCGTTTCACGATATGTTGATGATGCGTGCTTGGCATGTGTGTTGCGATCCATGGCACGGCTTGCAACATCAGAATTTGACCGAGGATGATATCATTGTCACGTTAAGAACCTTATGTGAGGTATAAAGCTATTCCATATAATATGCATTACCAAACATGTGTCTAACAGTCAACATTGGCACATGATAGCTGTTCCTTCCAGTTATCATATTTTCTGACGGAGCTGGCGAACTCGTCCCTGGAAGGACATATTCAAAATGCAGGTGCAACCCGATACGACGAAAGAATCCTCCTTTCCCGAACTGAAAGGGAATGGCCAAGATCTACTTGAGTCTAGTCGACCTAGCTCCCGAGACAGCCCTGTGCCGGGTGACGGATATGGGTCGTCTGACGAGCACATTTTCTCTGAACCTGCAGTGGCTGATCACTGGCGCAATGTTTTCGAGAAGGCTCGTTACGAGAACCGCCATCGATTTGACCCAAACTACAGGTCAGTGATTTCTTAATCTTGTCAATAATTCACACCAGTTCGGAGAAGACTTTCTTCAAGCCCCTTGATTACTTCACTGTTTCTTCGAATCAAAACATACTGAGTCTTTCAGATGGACCGCCGAAGAAGAACGAAAATTGGTCAGAAAAATTGACATTAGAATTATGTGTTGGGCATGGCTTATGTTTTGCGCGCTCGATATGCATCGCCGAAACATCAACCGTGCTATTTCAGACAACATGCTCGCTGAAATTGGTGCGTTAATCTTTCCTTCCTCGTGATTGTTATAAATCTGACATGGCTAGGCATGAATACGAATGACTTCAACTACGGCCAAACAATCTTCCTAGCATGCTTTCTCTCTGCCGAACTCCCCAGCGGCCTTATTAGTAAGAAGCTAGGAGCAGACAGGTGGATACCTACCATCATGGTTGGATGGTCCGTTGTTGCTGGGTCACAAGCTTTTCTCACAAACAAATCTGGATTCTATGCCATCAAAGCCCTTCTCGGCCTACTCATGGGCGGATTCATCCCTGACATTGTTCTTTGGCTTACCTACTTCTATAAGTCGACCGAACTTCCTCTTCGGCTTGCGTGGTTCTGGACCGCGCTAAGCACTGTCAATATTGTTGGATCATTGATAGCAGCTGGGGTTCTCCAAATGCGAGGTGTCAACGGCTGGTCTGGATGGCAGTGGCTATTTCTCCTCGAAGGCATATTGACGTGCATCATTGGAATCTTCTCTTGGGGGGTCATGCCTCCTGGGCCTTGCCAAACCCGAAACTGGTTCCGTGGCAAGAATGGCTGGTTTACGGAACACGAAGAGAACATCATGGTCAACCGGCTCCTGCGTGACGATCCGAGCAAGGGAGATATGAACAATCGGCAAGCCGTGGACCCAAAACGTTTATGGAAAGCTGCTAAGGATTGGGAGATGTGGCCACTCTACATCATCGGACTGACAACGTACATTCCACCGTCGCCTCCGGGTACCTACCTCTCATACATTCTTCGAAAAATCGGATTCTCGGTTTTTGAGGCGAATCTGTTGGCGATTCCATCGCAATTCCTCTTCGCTGTCAATCTACTAATCGTTACATGGATATCCTCCAGAGTGAAGGAACGCTCCATTGTATCGTCTACCTCTAACATTTGGATTTTCCCTTGGCTCGTTGCCCTTGTCACACTACCGGCATCTGCATCTCCATGGGTGCGTTATGCTTTGTTAACAGGACTTCTCTCCTATCCATATTGCCATGCGATACTTGTCGGGTGGAACGCAAAGAATAGTAATAGTGTTCGCACAAGGGCAGTTTCCGCGGCTTTGTACAACATGTTCGTTCAGAGCGGAAATATTATAGCGAGCAACATCTACAGGGATGATGATCAGCCCTTATATCATCGTGGAAACAGAATACTTCTGGGGATCACCTGTTTCAACATATGCTTATTCTATTTCGTCAAGGTTTTCTATATCTGGCGGAATAAGGTCCGCGACAGAAAGTGGAACGCACTTACTGCCGAGGAGCAGGAACAATACGTTTTGACAACCAAAGACGAGGGTATGAAGAGACTGGACTTCCGTTTCGCACACTGATGGATATCCAAGACGAGGTTCGGCGGATTTCGACAGCGATCTGAACAAAAGTCCTTTAGGCTAGGCTACAGACTATCAAACGGCAACGTGCATAGTCCTGACAAATACGCAACTCATTAAAGCTATAAAAGTGTGTCTACCAGTAGCGTCTTGAATTTGAGTTTTGCAGGTCTTCAACATCGCAGACGGACCTCCCGTTACGTTAATAATTTTAGATCATCTGCAAATCATGGTCCATTGATCAGATACCGCAGCTAATATTCATAGTGCAGAAACAATGTTTCAAAACTCTGCTGTATGCTATGAATGTGGTCTTATTCTTTATTCATTAGTGGTCGGGATTTTACAAACGTGCTATATGAAAGTGGAAATGGAGCTCACTTGAGCCGTTGCCAAGCCCGTTGCCACCTATATGTCCCCTGTCTAATTCAACCCACTTCGGCGTCAGGATAAACGATTGGAGGAATTACTATCCAAAACTCCGCAGACTCTGGGGTACATCATTATGTGATTTGAAGGGACCAGGCCGAAGTGAGCCCAAATAGGCAAGTTATGCAGGATCTTAACGAGAGCCTTCTTGAGCTGTCAAACTTTGCCCGGACTGTGTCAATTATTTCAGAAGTATCCGTGGCTCAAAGCACTTCTTAGATAGTATACAAGCACTCATATCATTCGTGGAGCATTTATATACAGTTTGACCGTATTCCCAACCAGATGCTCGTGTTGGGTATAAAGAAGCTCAAAAGTGCGAAGGAACTGCTCCATGCTAACTCTCAGTGCCTGAATATTTAAGGGACCGAACACATCAGGATATCCGGCCCATTTCCCCGTCAGAATCCATTATTCTCTGTAAATAATCAGCTTTGAAGTACGTTGATACACTATCATGAAGGTATTTTCCATTCTCACGGTTTTGTTCGCGGCGGTTTCCGCGACACCTACTCCAACTGTCGATGGGAGCCCAGAAAAGGCTCGTTTGGCTAAGCGAGCATCCGTTTCGGACAAAGCAACTTTGGGATACGCTACTCAGAATGGAGGGTAAGACAGCCGATGTATCGCAGATTCAAGGGCAACGCTAAAGATATCTAGCACGACCGGCGGCTCGGGCGGTACTGTGACTACTGTGTCAACCCTTGCTCAGTTTACCGAGGCAGTTAACGAGAAAGACGCAACTGCCAGAATTGTTATGGTAAAGGGCATAATCTCTGGGGCGTTGAGTGTTCGTATTGGAAGCAACAAGTCAGTCATCGGTTTGCCCGGTGGTGGTATGTTTAAAATCATAGGGACAACGTTCTACTGGCTGTAATAACTAACCTCAATTCGCCTAGGCTTCAGTGGTGTTGCTCTCTATGCCCGCCGGCAGAGCAATATCATTGTTCGTAATATTGTCTCCTCGAATGTGGAGGCAGAATACGGGGACGGTCTCAAAATTGATGTAAGCTCGACTGACCGCGTACATCCCGACGTTGTCTCGCTAACATATATATTTAATTGTTTAGGCAAGCACTAATGTCTGGGTCGACCATTGCGAGTTCAAGTCTGTTCTTGTTGCAGACAAGGACTACTATGACGGGCTCGTCGACGCGTCCCATGCCGCGGATTTCATAACCATTTCATAGTGAGTCATAGTTATCTTCACTCATGCTGTGCGCTGCTGATTAGGTCTAGCACCTACTTCCATGATCACTGGAAGACTTCTCTCATTGGGCATAGCGATAATAATGCGGATGAAGATACAGGCCACCTCCGCATCACATACGCTCACAACTACTGGAAGGACTGTGGCTCCCGTGCACCATCTCTCCGTTTTGGAACTGGCCACGTCTATAACTCTTACTTCTTGAAGTACGTACCTCCGTCTTCAAGTGAAAATATTTGCTAACTGAATCCAGCTTGAACTCGGCAATCAATTCTCGCATGGGCGCTCAAATGCTGGTCCAGAGCAATGTCTTCAGCAACGTCTCCGTCCCTATCACCAGCGTAGACTCTGATGAAGTCGGGTCAGTAGTACTAGAAAAAGTCGATGAGAATCAAGCTGACTACTGATAGATATGTTACTGCCATTGACAATGACCTTGGCGGCGGGGCGAACACCGCCCCAGCAGGGACAATGACCGCAAACTCCGTTCCGTATTCATATTCTTTGCTCGGCTCCGCCAATGTAGTGAAGACTGTGCCAGGCCAGGCTGGTGCTATACTTACCTTTTAATTTGAGAACTATGATTCTGACTTATTTATTGAGTTCTACTGGACTAGGTGTTCATGTACTTATCCAGGCATCGCGCCGTGCTTAGGAAACGCTGGGAGATTCTGTGACCTCAATCAGGCGCATGTATGTAAATATCAAGTACCTAGAACGACAGAGACTATATACATATTTGGGCTAGTAGAATCACTCGTAACACGTGCTATAAGTGAAATTTCTCAGCGTGATATTACCATGTATAATGACAGACTCACGCAGAGATTGGGGCTCGAATCTATGCCGATTGTAATTTATATACATTTAGGATCGAAGGATCAGAGGAGCATGCTCTATATACTGGAGCACTCGCTTTGCTGAGTTCCACATTAGGTTTATTTCTGTTATCGATTGAAATACCAGGCATACATATGATACGGTCATTCTTGAATGCGGACCATCGGCTAGCCTACGCTCAGACGCAATCCCTTATGGTGTTGAGTACACTTACAGGAACTTGAGAAATGGAGACTGTCAGAGATCAGGAATGTACTGCTTTTGGAGACAGTAAGCATGAAGATGATCATTGACCAACTCCACTTGCAGTAATGTCACTTATGAGAAACAAAACCATCTTAAAACGGCTTACATGGCGACAGAATTAGAAAGGCTTGTGGCTCTACGCAAAAGTCTGGATTCAAGGTTTGGTGATTGGTAGGGTTAGACTTCAAATCTCACTACCTTGTACTGGCCCCTCATGGTAGAGTATTCTACACCTCCGCCGGGGTAATAAATGTTATTTTAGCAAGGTGAATATACCAGAAAGCCAGGGTTGGGAATACCTGATTGGGGCTTCGAAGATTCTGTTTATTTCTATAGCCCCGCTGGTCTTGACAAAAGTAGCAACTCCCTTGTCTGAAAAGTCGCGATTCCCACTCAGAATTAACAAATATTACCCCGGCGGAGGTGTATGATGGTGATCAATGCCAGGCACAACTGCTCACCTGCCTCGGTGTCGCATGCAAGGCACGCAAAGTCGTAGGCACGCCAAACCGTGCACTGACCGGACCGCTCCCTGCATGACCCTAGCGTTGATCTGCGGATCTGTTCAAGGGGGGATGATTGTCATGGCACGGACATTGGTTTAGGTCGTACAGTGATAGCTGCTTTAGCTGGGCAATCAGGCCATTCGTATGGTCTGTCATATTCTAATTGAACGACGGCATCTCCAATTGGAATGATCTCATTTGGCGGAAGTCAGCTTTAGTCTCTCGGCAGTCTGCTAACATCGAGCTTGTGCCCGTTAATCATGCGGGTACTGGCGGGTGCAACGGCCGCGACGGGTGACTAATATGCTCTCGAAGTCAGAGCAAGGGATGGAATTCTCGTCGCCACGTCGGCCAAACTTTTAGTTTGGGGCCAGCGGAAGTAAAGCCTATTTTCTTGGTGCTTCATTCCTTTTTTTCCTTTTCTTTCCCACTCCTTTCCACTTCCATCATAGCCTAGAGGAGATGTCTCAGGTCTCCTGGGTCCTGGCAAGCTGGGGCGGTAGCGTTGCAGTAGACCCTACGGAATTGGGGCTGATCGTTCACGATCTCAGCCCACAAAACGCGACCAGGATGTTAATCTGGGCCCCAGCGGGGCGCATTGCAGCTTCCCTGTTGCTGGGCACTACTGTATGCAAGGGCGAAATCCTGGCGCTGATCCTGGCAAAGACTGACTGGCTTTCAGAGAGGCACGAATATGTAGCTGATGGGCCAAGGATGATAGCAAAGTTGTACGCGCTCGCTACACACAAACAGAACTGGGTAAGAGTGTCATCCTGCATCTGATGACCATTGCGCAAAACTAAGCCGTCATGCGGGGAGTAATGCCACCATACTGTAAGCCGAAAGTCAAGCGTACCAAATCCCATTTCCGTCTTCAGAGGTGAGCTCTCGCCGCACTAAGATGAGCTGGCTCTGAGCCATGACTGAGCAACTCAGGAGTTTGCCTGAGTCAGCCTAAGTTTAGACTTAGCTACTTTAGGGAGGTATACTTTAAGGACACTATTTCCCATAAACATCGCTTTCGTCGCCTGACAGACTCGATCTAAGCCAAAGTCCCCTTTTAAACCTCGGTTGTTAGTCCTTGAAAGTTCCAAGACTCGTCTTAGGCTATAAAAGGTAGCCTAGAGCACAAACCCTAGAAGAATAGATGGTAAGACTCGAATATGATATATCTAAAGATTATGGTATATAGAATACTCAACGCAGGGTCATCAGTAACTGTAACTAAATGAGCAAATACCAATACTACTACTCAGATCACATAGACTTATAAAAGCTATACAGTCGTACTATAACCAGATCTCATATCAATAACATACTGATCTATATTATAAGTTTCTTTCATTCATACCCTACTTATAATTAAAGAAGACCTAGCTAAGCTATGAAAAGAATGTTATAAGGTAGGCTACAATTCATTTAGATACTATCTCATCAAGTACCGCGAATGTCACAGCGGAGGCAGCTGCAGCAAAAGCGACGGCCGAAGGGCAACTGACGAAGAAACTCGCCAAAGATGCTCAAGACGACGCCTAGAAGGCGCTCGAAGCCAGCCAAAGTAGGTTTGACGAATGGAGAAAGGAGAAAGAAGACCTTCTTACAGAGATGGTCGCACTGAAGGGGCTTATTGCTGCTCAAGACGCAAGGATCCAGAGCTTGGAGGTCGCCCAAGGCGAAGTAATAAGCTGCCAGTATGATAAGCTAAAGGACAACAAGCCAATGATGAGTAGCAAGACGACTACCAAGAGAGGCACTGATGATGGAGAGCAAAAGAGTCTAGGGGAAGGGTCTGGAATGTCAACCCGACATATCAAGGACAAGAGGCCTGAGTGGAAGCCATATGATTTGGCAGGTTATGCAAGTGTATATTAGCTTAGAGATATAAGTAACGCCTCAGACAGCAAAGCTCATCCTAGGCAGCTCCTTGAATGTCCTAGGAGGGTCCTATGACCCTCGAAATGCCACACAAATCATTCTATTGTCATTATGCTATTGTCTTCGAACCATAGCAAACGTTCCTGCCCAGAAATCCCCTCTCCCCCCACAACTCTTTTCGTACTTTAGCGTCTACACCTTTTCATTCTCACACCAGCTACCTAGAATCCGCTCGCCTTTGTTCGAGCAGCCTCTCACCCACATCTCACTTCTTTCTCAAGTAAATCTAACCAGAACCACAAGGCATCACCATGGCAGGACTAGCGACTCCTAACCCTACTGGTGGCACCGCCTCCGGCATCACGACTGAGAGTGCTGGTGTGACATACAAAGCGAAGAGCACCCTCACTGCTCATATGATCGCGGAATGCGAGGCTGTATTCGCAATCGCGATCAAAACCCTGAACGATGCCGACCCTACAAGTGGCCAGATAGCTAGTTTCTGGCGTGGAACCTTCGACCGATGGAACAGCAGTCGGCTACCTACTATGCCTCGGTACAAGCAGCGCCAGAGCGCAGACTCGTCGGTTGAGGCCGGCACATTCAGCTGTGATCTTCCCCTGGGCAAGGTAAGAGACGTCATTAATCACATCAGCTCGAGTAAATGCTAATTCAGACTACAATCAGAGCGAGGAAGTCCAGGAGCAGCCCCTGGCAGGTTGCCCTGCGTTCGTCAAGGTTCACGTTGGTGGTCCAGCAAAGGCCTTGGGCTGGCTTTGGGTAGACTCGGCCAATCAAACGGCCAGTACTGCCTACATCGATTTCTATGATGATCAGCCTATGCACGCCTATACCCAGGATGCGATGATCCAGTATGACAAAGCCGAGTTGGCACGTCTGGCCCTATGGAACTGCAAGCTGGCTATCTATATGGTCCGTCGCCGGATCAACCATTGGACCAAGAACGGTTGTCCTTCTGCCGTCGGTGGAGAAGATTCGCTCATGGCGAAGATGGAGCAGATTGTCTTGTGCCGCGAATTGCTGCCAGTCTATACAGCCCTTGCCCAGAACATCCTGGATACCGATGACAGCGGAGGAATTCCGGCCCCTGCCCCAACGTTCCCGGTTTCTTGGTAGATCTGATCCTCGATGGCACAAAGCAGTAGCTGGTACTGGAATTGAAGAGACGAATCAATGGTTTTTGCTTAGCTTTTAAGTATCAGGGTTGATACTTGATAATGATATGTGCATTTGTTTTAGCCAGTAGTTGAGCCCTTTGTTGCAATCCGCATGCTGATATTATTACTGTGTCATGCTTGGTTTCATAACGACAGTTTTCTATTACCACGGGAATCTTAACAGAAGTCACAACTGGACACATCCACCTTGGAGTCCCACATACACACCATTGCCTATCACGGACTGCTGTCTCTAGATCGCTTCCCCTCTACCGATTGATTGTCAATACGTACACTGTACGTAACCGACTTCACGATGGAGTGCTCCAGGCTGTCCTTCAATATGTTTTCTTCGCTGGTGCTTTGGCCTGTCGCCGCCGATGCGAAGACGCCTTCGCCTTGGCCCAGCTTGCTGAGCTTGTATCGTTCCTTGCTTGCCCCAAGGCGTCCACTCTTGTTGTCTGACGATGATTGTTTTGACCGGTATTCTTTTGCTTTTCGCAGGAATACGGGTGCGAGGAAGGGTAGAGATGAGACCATATTCTGTCACGCACACCATTCCGTTAGTTTCCTATTGCTAGGTCGAGAGGCTGCCGAGGAGTTGATGCCTGAACTTACACCAACATTAAATTCAATGACACCCCATAGAACTAGCATCGTAGAATTACCATCCCCATGCTGAATGCGGTCGATCTGGAGGTACCGCAGGATGGAGCACAACGTAGTGAACAGCCCGAGGAGGAAGATGAGGATTAGTCCGATCTTCTTCCCCCTACGAACACTCAGCTTCAGTAGTGCAGGAATCGGCATGACCGCAACAACTACGTCAGATATGATGGTGATGATGGCATATGCTGTGAACGAAGGGCCTGGTGACAGACATGTTCCTGGTGTCAATGGGTTCCATGATTTGCTAACCTGTACACCGTGTGAGTGGCACGTCTTACAAGAGCGCTCTCGAGCAATGTTGTTGGGTTGATAAATCCTTACCGGTCGACAGGCAAATATCAGGGAGAAGCTGCAACCCAAGTGACCAAGAAAGATAAGAACGATCGTGCCCAAGACAACTCTTCTATAGATCTTCTCATTTGTGCCCTTAAACAAGCGCAGATAACTAATCAGAAGAGCAATCTTGAAGAAGCTGATTCCTAATTGGTATATAGGCCGGCCCGCGTAGTTGACGCGAGTGTAGGGGATCAGGTTCTTCTGTGGCCGTAGTGCCACAGGTAGTCCGAGGCCAAACTTAGTCTCTGTTCAGTCCACCATATCAGTATAAAAGTAATGAGTAGAAGAGAGCCAAGGCACTCACGGACGATGCAAAGGATCGAATAGATGAGCGCGAAGGCCATGGACAAAGCTGCCATGCAGTCATCTGCCTTGAGTCCGCGAGCAGAGCCACGGATCCATAGTCTCGTCGAGACAACAGCGATGGAAAGCACCGATAACACCACGCAAATGGCGATAATCGTTCGGTAGTCTGAGATTGCATTGACGGTTGGCGTCGCGTTGTTCACCCAAGTCATTGTAGCAGTATAGATGCGCAAGGTTGTAGTTGAATGAATGGAGACAAGTCTAAGGATGCAGACCTGTCGATTCCGGGACCGTTTCGAGCATCTTTAAACAGCAGAGGACAATGGAGCTCTTGACCTGTGGTGACGATGATCGACCTTGTTTCCTATTCTCCAGATCCGCCATGGTCCGATTAGAGCTGGGTCTCCCTTGCCGTTCGTTCAGCAGCATGGGGAAGATTGACAGGCCCAAGCGCGGCGGATGTCTCAGACGTCATCCTCAGGTCCTCGACTTTGACAAAACAAAGCAATGGCTGGTCAATCGAGTTGCTTTTCGCCATATTGTGCGGTAGGGGCTCCTGTGCACGCTAGTCCTACCGCGTCTGGGACGCCGTGTGGCTGGTCGGGGCTTTGGGACTTCGGTGAACGCAGCATTCCGTAATGAGAAAGGATCTGACCCGTCACAGCAGCCAGTGAAGCCATAATTGAGCCATCTTCTGAGGCTCTGGCAACGATTCGGCAGGTTCCTACTTAGCGCGATACTGATCGGCGGCCCGTGGGGGCGTGGAGATGCCCGTTGACAGCCGTAGCTCCGCATAATGTTAGCTTACAGCGACTCGAGAGTAGCCTGAGGAGGTCAAGTGGCTCGACTGGGTCGAGTGGTCAACACCTGAAGTGCAGGTCTTGTTCTTGGCTCGGGATCGTCAGTGGCGCGCGGCATGCCAGGGGAACTTGCAGGAACTATCAGCTCGCTAAGATAAGATGTCTCAGTGCAGGGCGAGGCACGCGTTATCAAGCAAGGGATGAAACGGCCTCTTCGTCCTTGCTGCAAGGAACTCAGCTTGGTCCACACGCCGATTCCTCTTTTGGGATTGACAGATCAATCTATCCAGTGCCAGGTCTTGTAAGTGTACCGGTCTTTGTGCTATGAGAGGTCGGCGACACGACCTGCGCCGTATCGGCCAAGCTCCCCACCGCGTACAGTAAGTCTCACGGCATACCGGTGGAACAATGGTCTTTGCTCAAGTTGAGAGTCGTTATTTATCTTGCATGTCCGCATGTCCTCCATCATGTTCCTCGTCTGATCTGCACTCATCTCATTCCTTGTCTCGTGTCTGTCACGAGGTCTTCCTTGTTCTTCCTGAAAGTCCCCACCTGTGATCAGCGTCCTGACTCTGAACAACCTGCTGCCGCTCCTGCAGCCTGGTTCTCATCACTTCGTTAATCTATCATTTCGTGTCTCTCATTGTGCACGGGACTTTTCGACAAGCAAAATGTCCACAATGTCCTCCAAAGGAGATAGCATCACTGAGTGCGAACTCGGCCATGTCATTGGTGAGACCTCTGCGGGCATTGATACGGCCTGGAAGTTTCTTGACAAGCATCGTGATACCCACGTGGCAGTGGACATCACGGCCTTGCGTCGCAAGATCGACTGGCGCATCGTGCCACTGATGTTTTGCTGTTATACAATGCAGTTTCTTGACAAGGTCATCCTCAACGTACGTTCTCCCTCTATGCCCAACCGCAGAATGTAATCTCATACGGTGACAGTACGCAGCGGTCATGGGCATGACAAAAGACCTAAACCTCCAAGGCAATGACTTCACAAACGTTGCTACTTTCCTATTCGTGGCTCTGCTCTGCTTTGAGGTGCCGAACAGTAGGTTCCTGCTTGCGTCGACACAACGAATGACATCTACTAATGTACTGTCCAGTCTACTTCCTCCAAGTGGTACCCGCGGCCAAGTGGCTTGGTGGAAATGTCATCTTCTGGGGTATTGCAACGGCCTGTGGTGCTGCGGCACACAACTACCAGACACTCCTGGTCTCACGAGTCTTTCTTGGAATCTTCGAGGCAACCATTGGCCCATCACTGCTTCTGATTAGTAGCCAGTGGTACACCAAGTCGGAGCAAGCCCCGCGTTTCTCCTTCTGGTATCTTGGGCTCGGACTTGGACAGATCATTGGCGGTGCTGTATCCTATGGCTTCCAACATATCCTTCCTGGTGCCGCACTGGCAGGATGGAGAATCATGTTTGTGGTGCTCGGAGCGTTGACTGTCGTCGTCGGCATTTGCACATTCATCTTCCTCCCTGACACACCGATGAAAGCACCCTGGCTATCAGACGCCGAGAAGGTTGCGTTGCTGAAGCACATCAGCGTCAACCAGACTGGTGTTGAGAACCGCAAATTCAGGGTGAGAGAAGTTATCGAGGCTCTCTGTGATCCACAGCTGTATCTGATGGTTCTTTCCGTTGTTCTTGTGAGTTGCTTACTTGCATGATTGTCAGAAGAATGTGCATTAACTGATCTGTGAAATAAGCTGTCCGTTTCGAGCGGTGTTGTGACTACATATTCGTCCACCCTCATCCGCAACATTGGCTATGACGCTAAACATGCTGCTTTGATGAACATGCCCTCCGGTGCTGTCAGCATCTTCTTCACACTTTTTGTCGGTTACGCTGTACGGAAGCAGTCTCATCGCTGGGCATGGATCATTGCTTGCATAATTCCTGCGTGAGTGATATAATCAGAACTCAACCCTGCGAACATATTCTCACATCCCATAGTATCATCGGTGGCGCTTTGATGTCCTTCTTGCCTCAGTCTAATAAGGCCGGCATTTTGGCTGGCATTTATCTCGTGAATGCAGTGGTCGCCCCCTTGACAGTTTTCTACAACGTGAGTATCAAATATGTGTCTAGTGTTTATCCGTCATTGCTAATAATTATCCCAGTGGACATCTGCAAATTTTGGCGGCGCAACTAAGAGAGCATTTGCGGCAGCGATCGTTTCCGGATCCTTTTCACTCGGTAACATCATTGGCCCTCAAACTTTCCAAGCTCGAGACGCCCCAGAATACCGCCCGGCTAAGCTTGCTGTTATGGGAACACAGGCTGGATGCGCGTTCACCACGTTCGTATTGTTTATGTACTACGTGTGGGCGAACAAGAAGAGAGGCGCTCTCCCGGAGACGGAGGAAACGTATCTGTCACCTGAAGTTTGGGCTGGCATGACCGACAAGGAAAACAAGAGGTTCAGATATTCGTACTAGGATCTGATAGTCAAGCTCAAAGAGACATTACGGTGAAAAAAGTTAGATGTTCTTGACTTTTGCCATTACGACGGTAAGCTTTACGGTAAACAACCTTGTAAGCATGGCAGGAAAGTCAGGATTCGACAATCGAATTTGTATCATGTGAATATAGAATACGATATGTACACATTAGAGGAGGCTTAGCAATTAGATCTGAGCAGTGTGATGACAAATTATCGATTGTCTTGTTGATTGATTTTTGCCCATATGAAGTCTCAACGGTTGAACTATTCTTCGACGACTTAGGGGCTTACATCAGATCAGAATGAATCCCATCATCACTAATTCATTGAGAATACGTTATTGCTACCAATAGGAAAGTATAGACAATAGGATTAACACATATATACACAACAGAACATTTTCCTGGCGAGATGGCCTAATTGCTCCTCTTCCCAAATATAGATAATCTCTTTTTACCACCCATGATGGCACTACTCCCTAGGCTCGGCGTATTGAACGCTTTTACACCGACTGGTGTCAACGGACTGACGACATCAAATTCCTCGGTCCATGGTAAAGCAGCTACTATCTGATCATGATGGCGGAGCTCGTCTTGTTCATCTTCGCTGCTGCTATTTGAACTAGCACTGCTGCCCCCAGTCAGGCTTCCGACGCTCTCACCGGTGCTGGCAGTGTTGCTTCGCGGTCTTTCACCTGCATCTTCCTCTGCCATTGCATCATGGCAACATAAAGGATCCGGCTCCTCAGCAACAGGTGAGAATGCAGGCAGTCTCGGCAGTAGGGGTGGGGTTTGCCCAACCGGTGTTATGGGAGACACAGCATCGGCCGGCATGTCCGTCTGTTGTAACATTGGAGTGAAAGGGTGACGGATTGTTGGAGACGCGCGAGTAACAGTTGATGTCAAGCGGCGAATACTCTTCCCCAGTGATGTGCTGACTGCGATCGACTTGCTTCGGCTTGATGTAGGACTGGTCGAAGACAGGTCGGCCTTGTGCTTCGTTTGGGCATCGCCAAAAAGTTTGCGGGCCAATAGGTCAAATTGACGACACATGGTGGGATGTTCGATGATATCCTCCATAGTGATCTTGAAAGATGCAATGTCAACACCAGTCAATATGAGTTTGGGTAATTCTCGTGTGAAGTAGTTCGCTAACTCCGCAGCGGGAATAAGTGGCCCCCAGAGATCGTAGAATGCAGCATTGTGGAGGTGTTCTTGAGGGACGCCAAGAGCGCGGGCATCGAGCACAACCGACCATGCATCAGCGATAAACGACTGGATCAAGAGCATCTGATCGGGTGGAACCTGGCACTCAATCTGGAGTGTTTGCTGCAGTTGAGCCTCCCTGGTGGGAAAGGCCTCGTCTGGCGCCTGTGGCAATGGAATCTGCTGATGCATGCTCTCATACTGGTTTCCTGTAGGGACAATCGGCTGCATGACACCGACACTCGTAATGACATTGACTGTGTCGCAGAGAGCACGTAGTGTTTCCTCGGCAAAGCTCCCAGGAATCCGATCCTCGCAGAATGTCACTGCAAGCTCGACTTCGCCAGAGCCCTGCGTGATGCTGTGCACAAACAGATCCGGCAAATCTTGCACCTTGGACTCAATGAGGGTAAACTTGCAGCTAGCGGCCCCTAAATGGAACATTTTACTTTGCTCAGGTTCGATGGCTGATTCCTCACGTTGGTGCTGGACGACAGTACTGAGCCGCGACCAGTAATGCCAAGGTGTGGACTTTTCGATCATCTCATACATGCCGAGATTCTCGTACGGCACTCCTGCGATACGTTGGCCTTGGATGTACTGAAGCAGGCCCAGGGGTGAGAGAGGGTAGTCAGGAAAGCGCACTCGAACCGGAATCGTGTTCGCGGTTGGACCAAGAACGCCAGAAACGGCTTGTCCGGACGGCAGTCGCACGTGGCGGCCCTCGATGACCTCGCCAAAGACTACATCGGAGGATGCTGAGAGGGTGGCAAGGACCATAGACCAAGCTGCTTTGAGAACTGTTTCGAATCCCACCCCAAGGCTTGGTAGTGACTCTACTGAGATTCGTTGGCGGATAGTCTTGATGTGACTGCTTAGCTGTGGCGGCTTGGTATGTACTACCACTTGTGTCACTGACACGCCTTTGAGGAATGTCCGCCAATACTGCTCAGCTCCGTTTGAATTTGAGAATCGGGCTCCGTCCATATAATCACAGTAGCTTGGCCGTCGAGGTGGATTCTGGCTCCCATCGTATAATCGTTTGAGATCCTTGACTAAGAGCGTGATGGACGCGTCGTCATACTGCGCTTTCGACAGGCGCATGATTAACGTTGATTGTTTTCCTGCATCAAGTAAAACAAATTTCGTTGGAGGCGAATGAAATGTGATAGGGCTACTCTGGTCTTTCTTGATGATCTTCTCGGTGAATGCTGTAAGACGCCAGCTGGGACAGAGATATTTCTTGAACTCAGCGTTGAAAGCCTTGAGCACCACCTGATACAGCTTTCGATTATGATAGACGAATGCTGTACGAAGGACTGGATGGATACTAACCAGGAGCTGCAGGGACTCTTCGAGCTTTTGAGGGTTGACTGGTCCGGTAAATCCAAAGACAAGATAATCAATGCCAGCACGGCCTGTGCGCAAGCCTGACTCGACATGCAACATCTGCGCCGAAGATGCTTCCGCGACTTGTTTGATCGTTTCGGCATCACAACCGATGGACGGGACGATAATCTGCTTGACTAGAGTCTCAAAGCCAGACGGGCTGGTGTGAACATCACCATCGCCCTTTGAGCGCTCCGATAATTCTTGGTCGGCTGCAGTTGTAACATTTCGGCAAAGCTCCGCCAATGTTGCATTACGAAGCACATCGGCAATTGAAACACTCAAGCCAGCTTGTCTGCAAGCAATAACCAAGTCGACGGCAAGGACATCATTGCCGCCAGCCTTAAGGAATCCATCTGTCGCACATATTGTGTTCTCATTAAGAGCCAAGACGCGTGCCCAGATGGTCCGCATTTGTTCTTCTGTTTCGGTCAGCGGCAACGCTCTGAGCCCGATATCCTGAGTTCCCTTCATATTCTGTAAAGATGAGAGGGAGAGAAGATGCTCATGTGAAAAGCCGTGTATGACTTTCTGCAGTTTGCGTCTATTGATTTTCAGAGAGTTTGTGATAGGAAGATGCTTCAGCGGAATCAAAACATTTGGAACCATGAATGAGGGAAGATTGTTGGGCAATGTCTTGTCTACCAGTTGTCTGATAGTGGAGAGCCGCTCTTTGGTCGTCTTGCTTAGTTGGGCCAAGTCTTCGCTCCCGTCGAAGAGGGTCCCAAGCTCGATAAAAGCAGCCAGAACAGGAGTTCTTCCGGTATCCCTGAATGAGATAGCTTCGACTATAGCATCGACTCCTTGGCCGAGGCATTTGCGAAGTTGTTGCTCAATATCCCCAAGATTTACTGTGTGGCCATTCAACACGAGATCTTCTCTTTGGGATCCAACATAATCAATTAGTCCCCCATCACTGTAGCGTACGGTGTGGCCCGTCTTGTAGTATCTGGAATTGCTTGTTCCATCATCTTCGACAAGATTGGATGAACCAACACTGTTTCTATACGGCCGTGCTAATGCGGGCCCACCAATCACCAATTCGCCGAGGGCTCCGATGGGCATGAGCTTTCGATGATCCTCTGAACTGACAATCCAGACGCTTCCGAAGACCGGTTTCCCAATGCATCTCAAATGATGGGGCCCATGCACCTCCAGGAAGGATATACCAAGTGGACAGACGTCAGGTGCACCATAAGCAAGAATGACACGCTTCTTCCCTGCCCAAGGAGCATATGTATCCCGGTCCAAGCTGCGTGTGCGAAAGCAGATTGTTCTCAGACTAGGAAGGGTTTCCACACTGAGCTTTCGAGCGAGCAGGGGAGTCATCTGAGACCAGTTGACGTTCATGCGCTTGACAGCGCCAGAGAAATCCTGAAAACGTTCCTGCGCCGTAGGAATGCAAACGCATCCTCCTTGAACCAGAGTGATGAAGACTTCAGCAATCGCGATATCGTTGTTGAATGAGGAAAGCTGCATGACTCTGCTTGTATGATGGATGCCAGTGGCAGGCCCTTGGGCAATGCACGTAGTTGAAAGGGCAGAATGCGTGAAGGCAATGCCTCGAACTTCCCTGGACGACACTGGTGTAAAGAAGATGCAAGCATCATCACCTGGTTTGGGAAGTGCAAGTGGTGGGCGATCCGGTGTGAAAACGGGGTTGGCTAGGCTGGACCTCAATTCAGAGTCTAGGACAATAACTCTCTCGAAAAGATTTCCAAGATTGTTAGCCGCAGCATCGCAAGCTATAGCAAGTTTTGCGTCGATATGTTGATAGATAGCATGGGTCAAACCCATATCATTTGCATCGATGGGTATCAGTGCGCCGCCAGCTTTTATTACCGCAAGCATCACCACGACGCTCCATCGACTCTTGTCCAGAAACACGGGTACAGGCATGGATAGTTCCACTCCAGCAGCCACCAGAAAGTGGGCTAGTTGATTTGCGTGCTCCTCGAGCTGGAGGTATGTTAGGTCGCCATCACAGGCACAGACGGCTTGATTGTCTGGTCGCTGCACTGTCTGCACGAAGATAAGCTCATGAAGGAGCGTCTCACTCCGTGTGCCGGTAGGCGCATCGCCGGTCCATGATACAATTTGAGCGTAATCGCGGTCACTGAAAAGATCAACACCACCAACCGACCCGTTAGGCGCACTCAAGATAGCTTGAATGGCACGGCCGAAGGCGTTTGCGACATTATGAGCTTGGCTTTGTGATAGGATTGAACAATCCATATCCACCTGTAATTTCCCGTTTGCAAAGCTAGCGTCAACGAATAGATCATGATCAGAAGATTCTTGACGTAGGATGCTGCGAAGTTCGACGTTTGCACATGGTCTGCGGTAGCTCTCTGGAACTGTTGGTTGCTCGGTGTACGCAAGACTACTGTTAAAGAGCTTC